CGCAAGACGAAAAGAATCCGTTCCGCGAGTCTCTTCGTCTTGCGGGTTTTTCGTCTTGCGAAGCAAGCCCATTAGCGGTTTAGGGGATTAGCGCTATTAGCGGCTTAGCGGGCTTAGTGGATCAGCTGATAAGCGGCTTAAGGATAAGATGATAAGAGGCTTAAGGATAAGCTGATAAGCGGCTTAACGATCAGCTGATAAGCGGCTTAACGATAAGCTGATAAGCGGCTTAACGGCTTAACGATCAGCTGATAAGTGGCTTAGCATCAGCTGTTAAGCGGCTTAGCCATCAGCTGATAAGCGGTTTAGCGGCTTGGGAAAAAGGGGGGGAAAGGAAAAAAACCCCACAGGAACTCGCAAGACATTTTCATCTTGCGAAGCAAGCACATAGGAAATTCGCTTTATGGCTACCTTCCAAAACGGAAAACCCTTTCGTCTAGCGGGTTTTCCGTCTTGCGAGGCATTCGTCTTGCGGGGCACCACTGTATTTACTGCCCCATGTGCATAGCCTTGACTGGTGACTGGGAGTGGCAGCCGAGACTATATAACACTGGTCCTGAAAGGCCTACATTGACTCCCAGCACGTTTCCGAGTACAATTCAAAGTGTTGGTGCTGACCTTTAAAGCCCTAAACAGCCTTGGCCCAGTATCCCTGAAGGAGCATCTCCACCCCCATCGTTCATCCCGGACACTGAAGTCCAGCTCTGAGGGCCTTCTGGCAGTTCCCTCACTGCAAGAAGTGAGGTTACAGGGAACCAGGCAGAGGGCCTTCTTGGTAGTGGCGCCCACACTGTGGAACGCCCTCCTGTCAGATGTCAAGGAAACAAACAACTATCTGACTTTTAGAAGACATCTGAAGGCAGCCCTGTTTAGGGAGATTTTTAATGTTTGGTGTTTTATCTTGTTTTTAATATTCTGTTGGGAGCTGCCCAGAGTGGCTGGGGAAACCAATCAGATGGGCAGAGTACAAATAATAAAACTGTTGTTGTTGTTGTTTCTATGTTATGGATAAGCAAATGCATTTGATTGGAGGAAAGAGATATTTTAGACAAACTTTAAAGCAAAATAACTTTTCGACAATTTAAAGTACACTCATGTACCATGTTCTGCGCTTGGAGATTGCTTCAGTGAGGCACAATCTACCTTCAAAGAAAAGAAGGGGAATAGAACAGGCTTTTCAGGACTTCTGGGTTAGCGCCTCCAGCAATGGCGGAATTCCTCTGATCGAGAGGAACCCGCTCCGTGAAACTAGGGTCTGGCCGCCACGGCGAAGGCGGAGACCCATCAAAAACCAAAGGCGGGAGAAGCTTGTGGACGTGGGATTTGGCTGGCACCTTTTGCGCCTCCCCTACTCACGAGGAAACCCGGTTTCGGGGATCCAGAGCGAGGTGGGGTGAGTGGCGCGGTGCTTTGACTTGACTGCTTTTTTCACGGAGTGAAGCCGCATTGCTGTTGCAGGAGAGCGCTGACTTTTTCCTGTGGACAATTTGATCTCAAAACAACAACCTGTGAGTAGAACGGAAAATTGGATTTTTAAACGTCTTAATTTGGTATCGAAACGGGGAGGTTTCAAACAGGAAGTCTGCCTCCCCCTTTTGTAAATAGATTGAAGCAAAGAGGCTGTAAGCTAAAGCCTTGGAAAGTCTCTCACAAAGGATTAAACTTCCATCAGTTAAATCACTAAACCCCCCTTGGAAGCAGGAGAAGAGGGGGGAGATTTAAGATTGCGTAAGCCTGCAGGACAGAGTGAAGAAAGTCAAATTACCACTGCTCTGAACCTGGAAACGGGCTGCTAGCAAGCATTGAAGTTTTGGATATGCTCATTGACTGTGAATAGATTGTCTGTTGACAGTAAGTTAGAGAAGGGAAATATCTTGTTTCCATTGCCTCCTTCTGCGTTTAAAAAGGAGTAAAAGTAACTGAAAATTGAAACTAACTTTATTGTTTGAACTGTGCTTAAAAGGATTGATACAAATAGAAACTGTTTCCCCCTAGAGGAAGCCTTTGAAATTGTTACAAGAGCTGAGCTGGGGGAACTTTCCATCTGCAAGATAAAACTGTGAGAAATTGGATTTGACCTTGACTCTAAGAATGTTGACAGAAGAAGCCTTAGTGGCTGCATTTTGCAGGATTAACGACTCACTGGAACAGCTTTTCAAGAAGACGGATGAGAGGACTATAAAAATTGATAACTTGGAACAAAAAGTGACTAATCTGGTACAAAAAGTTAACATTAACACAGAAATTACTCAGGAATCGATACAGGGATCTATTTTGACATGGCAAATCGAGGAGAAGGCGGGGGAGAAAGTTCTCACTGTGGAACCTAAAGTGGCACAAGTGGTGAGGCAGAGAGCTCCAGCCTTACAGTTGCAATTGGATGATTATAAGTTGATGCCTTCCAAGACTGAATTTAGAGAAAGTCAGACTTTTAGGATTGGAGCCCCGCTTGGACTGGAGATTGACCTCTGGGACCTGGACTTGGGTCAGAAGGAGACTGGAGTTGTGGGGACTGCCAGACTCGGAGGAACTTTGGAACGCGATTAGAAATATCTTTTGAATCTCAGTTTTAATTATGGAAATTTGGTTGACTTGTTGAGAAGGAATAAAAACATTGCTAGATGGGAATTCCCCGGAGATCTACTTTTCAGCATCAAAGGAAGGAAAATAAGAACAAGATCAGGAGAAGACAAAGTAAAGCGCATGTATAAATATGAAGAAGATCTGCAGAAGGGACCTGGAAAAGAGTTAAGAGCCTCGGACAGAAGATCACCACGTTGATGGGCTATTTGGAATTTACGGAAATGACTGGCAGAACCCGAGACCAGGGAGAAGAGACGGTGGAAGAATACTGGAAAAAGTTTAAAACCTATATATGGAAATAATGTAAAATTAATGAGTGCTAGAAAAATGTTGGAAGGGAATTATATGGCTTTAGTAGAAATATTTTAAGTAATTAAGTATAAATAAGTATTATAGTATTAATGGAAAATAAGGTTAAAATATGTTAAGATAATTACATGACAGAAAATAGAGAAAGATGTAAAGGATTTGCTGAAACATTTAATAGAAATGGAATACAAAAAGGGAGGTGAGAGGAGGTCGATGAGACAAGGGAATGAAAGAGAGGATACGGAGATGGTACGATGTGTGTTTTTTTTTGTTTCTGTTTTGTTAATGTGTTAATGATAACATTGCATTCTGTATTGTTTATATATTGTATTGTATTGTTTTCTCTTTTGCTTTTTTCTTTTTTTTCTTTCTTCTTTTCTCTTTTTTCTTTTTGTAAGGTATAAAAGCAATAAATATTATTTAAAAAAAAAAATAGAACAGGCTTTTCAGTGGTACAATCCTAAAGAAACCTTATTTGGTGCCTGTAAGACAGATGCCTCTCAAAACTCTTAATTTCATCTGAAAGAAGGGCAAGCCACAGCCCCCCTGTTTTGTTCATGAACGGTGGAATCCTTTGCATCTATAATGCATTTTCCTATTGGAATCGAAGGCTGGATCATCTATCCCAGGGTCTGGAGTCTGGCGCGGAGCCAGGCAAATTGCAAGTTCCTGCATCCATTACAATTTCACATGACAGTTACTTGAAGCCGATCAAGAAAATCTGGAAAGCTCGAAAGACAACACCCATTGGGCAAGACATATGACTCCAAGCATCCTCTGCTTACGAAATGAAATGAAATAGCCTAATATGATTCATCATTGCATTTTCTCTCCCAGAAACATCCGATTCCCTGTCATCTTCCATCAGGGGCTGAAGCTGAGCGGCGCAATGACAACTAATGCATGGGTTTTCCTTCCCTGAAGAGCAATTGAAGTTGATTCCTGGGGTACTTAAAGGACTTGGGGACACAGGCCCATGATGCAAATTTGCCTTTGGACAAATTAAGATGATGGGGGCTGGGTCTTAGGATATGTATGTGGTTTAAAAGTGTGTGTGTGAGAGAGAGAGAGAAAATGAAAACATAAGGGCATACCCTCCAACTGTCCCAATTTTCCAGGAACAGTCCTAGAATTATGAAAGCCATCCTGGCTGCTGATTTGATCCCAGTACAGTGGTACCTCAGGTTAAGAACTTACCGTAATTCATTCTGGAGGTCCATTCTTAACCTGAAACTGTTCTTAACCTGAGGTACCACTTTAGCTAATGGGGCCTCCCGCTGCCGCTGCACAATTTCTGTTCTCAGCGTGCAGCAAAGTTCTTAATCTGAGGTACTACTTCTGGGTTAGTGGAGTCTGTAACCAGAAGCATCTGTAACCCGAGGTACCACTGTATGTCCCTATTTCCCTTGCCAGTGCTGCTGCTGCCAGGCTCAGAAAGGAGGTTGAGCCAGCTGTGAGGGAACATCTTGTTGCCCCTCCATGGCCTCTCTGTGGCTTCTGCTGTGAACTTCCTCCCTTGGGCAGCTTGTAGCAGCTTCTGGAGAGTGGGCGAGGAGGAGGAGGAGGAGGAGGAGGAGGAGAGGATGTGGCTGCTAAGGTCCGCAGTCCTGTGTGATACACTGGCTCTGAGGGGCAGGCAGAAGAAAGGGTGGTCCTGGGTGGGAAGAAAGGTGGAGCGAAGTGGAGCGCAAAGAAGTCTTGATTTGGAGGGGGGAGGATGCTTTGTGCATCTACGTCCAATCTTGCCCCTTTCTGAAATTTATTTATTGGTGTGTGTTTTTCTTTTGCCTTTGGCAAAATTGTTGTGTTTATTCACAACAATAACAAAATCCACGACACTGGCAATAACAAGATCAGTTTTAAATGTGTGCATCAATATAGGCATTCCAAAAGTCTAAATATGTATCTAAATGAAACCAATGTATGAGACTGACGAGCATGCATTCTGAAATAGAAAGGGCAGTGGGATCTTCAGGGGGTGGGTGAGAATGTAACTGATGAAGCATTAAACCCCATGGCTCCCTGTCTGATGTCATTGCAGGTGGAAATGTGTATGCAAACCCGAATGCCATTCATCCGAAGAGAGGTGCAAAATAGGCCATCTCCAAGATTACTCATTTGCAGAAAGAGAAACTCTCCAACCATTTGTATGGACTAAGCAGTACAATATAAAATAAGATCTGGAAAACTGAACCTCCCTTTTAAAATGGCAACAGCGTCTTTTAAAGTGAAAAACAAGGTGAGCAGGAACCCCCCTCCCCATGTAAACTGAAATGCCTTTGAAAATACACTTGGGGGATATAGAAAGGAATACTATGAAACACATAAATTATCCGTGATAAAATGTTCCTCTTAAATTATATTAGCCTTACCCCAAACGCTATGCCCAAGTAAAGCCCATCTTTCCAAATCAAGAGAGAGATTTGTCACCGATCTATTTAGATTCAATTTAATCATTTGAGAAATGTCACAAGGAACCGAAATGCCTAAAGATGTTATAACCTCTGGGCACCAGTTAGCATATAAACAACATAGCTTTATGGTGCCCTGTGGCACCAGGGTCAATGTTATTATGCTCATTAGAGTGTTCAGGGACTGAACAACAACAGCTCACCCTGTGAGTTCATCAAAATGAACAATTTACTTTTTTTCTTTCATTCCAAACAGATTTCCTCATATGGCTACCAAGCAACTTAAAAACCTGCTAGAAGCATATGTAAAACTGCATTTCTTGTGCACACCAAAAATGGGAGAGAGACCGTCCCTCAAGCGCTTGAAGGCAGCCTGTGTACAAACAGAAAGTGAATGACCGGTGGCTCATCTAGCAATCAAGCACAACCACCCTTTTGAAGGGCTAGTGGTCCTGCAAGACTTTATTAATGCACAAAGGAGCTGCACCCTTTCACCATTCAAAAGCACTAAACTGGTTGGCAATGCAAGTGAAATATTATTGACTGTCAGCAGATGGCACCCTTTCCATTTCCTATATCTTTGGAGCCAGCAAAGCCCCCAAACAGGTGTTTTTTGCAAATTATTGTGTCCTTAAGAAGTTCTAGCGTTTGCAAAGAAAGGAATGGAAAAGCCTTTCCTCGGAGATGAGGAAGAAGCCACACAGGGACACCTGGAAACAGGTGGGCAGTCAAGGTAGGCAGCCAAGGAAATGTATGTCATTAGATACAGGTTGAGGTTATCCCGATTTGAATGTTTACACCACTCCAAACAATGTATTCTGTCTGATCTAAACTTTTTTTCTTTTCTTTTCTTTTAAAATAGCACAACCCTGTATTATGTGCATTCATATTGCTGACTTAAAATTTAACCACTAGATTTAACGCTTGGAATGGGATCTAAAATGCTTAAGCCATTCCCAGTGGGTGTTTTCTTTTAAACAGCGGCCATGACAAGCCCTATCAAACTGCCTTTGAAAGCCTTCTTTCATATCAACAAAAAATTATTTCATTTATTTCACAGCATTTGGTTGTAATAAAACCTCCTAGTGGTTTTGCTTAATGGATTTCTACCTGGTATGGAACACTGTGGAAGCTAATCTCTCCCCCCTCCCCCCTTTTTTTTAAAAAAGTTTTTATTAGTTTTCATTTGTCACATCACACATAAAACAACATAACTCACAACCATGTTGTTTAAAAATGTCAAATTAAGGGTTTTTCACCTTGCAAATTAATTCTAGATAATAGTAAGAAAAGGCCATACCCTAAACTTCTGATCTTCCAGTTCTA